CCTGGGCAGTCTAGTCCAGATTCTGGTCACCCTTACCATGAAGAAGTTCTTCCTTACATCCAACCTGAAACCATCCTCTAATGGTTTATGTCCACTGCTCCTTGTCCTCCCCTGGGGCATCCTAGGTAACAGTTTATCTCCCAGCTCCTAATATTCACCCCTGACACACTTGGAGATGGCCACCAAGTCCCCCGTCAGTTTTCTCTTGCCCAGGCTGAACAGCCCCACATCCCTGTGTCTCTCCTCATAACGTTTGTCCTCTAGGCCCTTCATCATTCTTGTGGGCCTTCTCTGGACCCTTTCAATTATCTTTATGTTTTTGTGTTTTGGTTTTTTTAAGTGCAGCACCCAGACCTGGACACAGGACTCCACCTGTATTCTCACCAGCATTGAGTACAGAGGAAATATCACTTCCTTAGCCCTGCTCACGACACATTGCCTAATGAATCCCAGTATGCTCTTAGCTCTGCTGCCTACAGTGTTGTAGTGGCGGCTCATGTTCATCCTGTGATCAACCATAACCCCGAGGTCCTTTTCAGTCAACGTGTTGGCCAGGACATATCCTCCTAACCGTACTTCATGTTGCTGGCTAGTTCTCCCCAGACGAAGCACTCTGCATTTATCCTCATTGAACTGCATCCAGTTAAGCCCCACCCACCTTTCCAGCTTGTTCAGGTGCCCTTGGATCAGTATCTTATCCCCTAGTGTGACTGCTTTTCCCCATAACTTACTATCATCCACAGACTTGGGCGGTGCACCTTCCACGTGCTCATCTAAATTGTTGATAAAGATGTTGAACAGCCTGGGGCCAGGAACCAAGCCCTGCAGTCCCCTCACTGCCAAGAACACCCTGCCACTACAGACCACCCCCTGCCAAGACAATGCAGACCCGACCCACTCTCTGGATGTGACCCCTTTGCCAATTCCCAACCACCCCGACCATGGACTTTGCCAGCACACAATCTGCTTTGTTTGTTTTATATACCTGTGTAGTTGTTCCTGGTCGGTGTTCTAGATATGAGAAATAAACTTAAAGCAACTTCTCAGATTCTGATATCTCCCCAGCTTGGGGAAGCTTAAATCTACATTTCCTTTTTTTGGCCAATGTATGCTAAAATAGACTAATCCTGCAAGTTTGGGGCTGGGATTGAGGATTGTAACCTTGTGCTCCCAGGGGATCTGTGTGACCCAGACTGCATGCAGCTCAGACCTAGAACGTAGGCCTGGCTTTTCCACCTTGTTTTTGTTGAAGGTCCTTTTCTCCAGCCAAGCTGAGTGGTTGGGCCAGTTGTAGCCAGGAATAAACCTGGCTCCCTTTTCAATTCATCCAGCTGTTTCTGTTTCATCAGGCTACACATCACAGCCACAGGAAGTTGTGGAGGCTGATTGGATGGCCCAGTTCAACATCTGATTACATGGGCGACTGGTGCCACCTTAGTCAGGGGGGGCACGTGACCCCACTGCTACCAGTCCTGCTGACTGGGGGGCAGGTCCCCCTGCAGCCGATCTCGCTGCCCTGGGGCAGGAGGATCCCTCCCGTGGAGGATCTCGCTACCCAGGGAAACCCCTGCAGCCAGTCAGGAGGTGCACTGATGCTCTCAGGGGGTGCACGTGCACCCCGTGCATCTCCTATGCATCGCCACTCACTGATTAAAACAGTTCCAGGTACAAAATCCCATAGGGTGCAGCCTCTGAATACAATTGCCCTAAAGCTCTGCAATGGGAGCGAGGCATGGAGTGGAAAGCTCTGGCTATGCCTTGTTTGGCCTCTCTTCAGCATCCATAATCTGCCACTGGGCTAGATGGGAAATGCACTGGGCCACGTGGATATATGGACCCATCAAATGGTCACTTTTAAAGAGGGAAGAACAGTTTTAAAGAGCTCCGTTATACAACGGCCCTGGGGAATTCCATACACAGACAAGGAGTTTCTCCTGAAACAGAGAACACAACAGCGGCACGCAGACACTGCGGTGAGTACAGACATCAGCACCCCATCTGCAAGACCCTCCAACCTGGCTCAAATCCCTCTCAGCTGGAACAGACGGATCACCCTGCCCTGGATCTGCCTGGTTCTTATCCCATACACAATGGGGTTCAGCATGGGGGGCACCAGAAGATAGAGATTAGCCACCATGATGTGAAGGTGGTGTGGGATGTGGTGGCCAAATCGGTGGGTGCGGAAGGTGAAGGGGGCTGGGATGTAGAACGCCAGGGTGACACAGGTGTGGGAAGCGCAGGTGCTGACGGCTTTGAGACGGGCCTCGGTGGATGGGAGCCTCATGACTGTCCGCAAGATCATGGCATAGGACACAGAGATCACAAGCACATCAAAGCCCACCACCATGAAAGCCATGAAAGCCACAAATAGGCCATATGTGATGTTGGCTCTGACATTCCCACACACCAGCTTTACCACAGCCATGTGCTCGCAGTAGGAGTGGGAGATGAGGCGGTGCCCACAGAAGGGAAGCCGGCTGGTGAGGATGGAGACGGGGCTCACCAAGAAGACTAAGGGCTGGAGCCGACCTCGACAGATCATCGAGTCCAACCCCCTTCCCTGGGCAGGAATACTGCTGACATCAAATGATCCCAGCAAAAGGTGTCTGTCCAGTCTGCTCTGGAAGATTTCCAAGGCTGGGCACTGCACCACCTGGGCAGTCTAGTCCAGATTCTCTTCACCCTTACCATGAAGAAGTTCTTCCTTACATCCAACCTGGAACCATCCTCTAATGGTTTATGTCCACTGCTCCTTGTCCTCCTCTGGGGCATCATAGTGAAAAGTTTATCTCCCAGCTCCTGATATTCAACCCTTACACACTTGGAGATGGCCACCAAGTCCCCCGTCAGTTTTCTCTTGCCCAGGCTGAACAGCCCCACATCCCTGAGTCTTTCCTCATGAGGTTTGTCCTCTAGGGCCTTCATCATTCTTGTGGCCCTTCTCTGGACACTTTCAGGTATCTCTATGTTTTTGGGTTTCTTTTATTTTTTTTTTGAGGTGTAGCACTCAGACCTGGCCTATGTATGCTAAAATAGACTGTGCCAAAATCCTGGGTTAAAACAGATCAGTAATTCGGTGTCTTAACTTTCTGTCCCAGACACAGCTCTTACGCCATGACCAGCTCTTGCTACTCTAAGAGATTTTTGACATGGCTATTTACATGAGTCTCCAAATTTTATTGGGTTGGATTTGTTTTCATTGCACTGGTGTAAATCTGGAATGACTCTATTGCAGTCCACAGCATTATTCCTATTGCCTCATTGCTATGATTATTGATTACTGAGAATGATCCATTGTCAGTGTCACCAGCTGGCATATGGGAGGTTTCTATCAAGAGGCCTGGACAGAAAGTAGGGGATAGAATTAGCCCCTGTCTATAATGCCTGGGGACCACACCGATGGGCACCAGCCCCGAACCCTAACTTTGCCAGGTCTATGGAGCAGGAAACCTTCTTTTTGTCCCATATTCAAACAGTGATCTACAGCATGAGGTCCTGGTTCAGGAATAGACTAATCGTCCTTGTAATTTCAGTACCAATGATGATGATAATGATGATGATGATGATGATTATGGGAACAGCTAGCAGTTTGAGCAGCAGGTTGATTTTCTGGTTAAGACAATCACCCAGGACTCAGGAAACTGAAGTCCCTACTTCAGGATTCAATTCCTGCCTCTGCCACAGCCCCCATGAGTGACTTGGGAAAGAGGCCTAGTCTCGCCAGACCAAGGCTTTAAAGTGCTGATAACAAAACATCGTTCGTCCTTTCTTTGGGTGGTCCTTCTTGGACAGGAAGCTCTCCAGGCAGGCACTGACTTCTTTCTCTAGTTGGAGAGAATCCAGCATCCTTGGGACCTCTAGAAACAATTCATGACATTAAATATATAGTGGTCCCTGTTTGATGGGCATCCCACACTGTGGGGTCTCATGGCTTCCTTTGGTTGTTTAATGAATTGAGAAATATGACTACATGCTGTGACAGCTGAAATGATGTCTGTGTGATAAAGGTGCTTGCTGAAGGCCCTATGAAGTTTAGACGGAGTGTTTTTAAGTATATGTTTAGATATTAAGCTATATGTTGTCGCTAAAAACCTAATTAAATCTAAGAAGTAGTGAGGCCTTGTATAAAGTAAGGCGTAGTAAATTTAGCAAAGCCTTGAAGTAGTAAGGCCTGTGTTGTATTTAAAATTATCTTATGAAAGGAATGCATGGCTTGTACTGTTAATTGGTGAGTCTAAGGACAGTTGAACTAAAAGAAATCTGAGTGGTTGTACGTTATCAAAACCATTGAGAAGCTTTAAATTGGCTGGAATATCTGGAAACCATTCACAAGGAAGATAGAGCTCTGTGAAATGATTATTTAGCTGTTGCTGGATCAGTTGGCCCATGGACCTCGAGGAGCCCAAGGACTGCATGCCAGGGTCCTTCCCAGCACCCTTTGGACAGTGTCGTTCAGGAACGCCTTTCTTCGCTGAACTTTGTGGAAAGAGAAGCTTGCTGTGTATCAGGCATCAGAGGGAACTGCTCATAATTTGCCGAAGTGAATTGCTTTTGTCTGTCATTGTTTGTCTTGTTACTACGCGTAGTTGTGTTTTAGTTAAGTCAATAAATCTTTCTTACCTTTCTACCCCCGACCATACTCTCAATCACGAACCCTCCGCAGGCAGCTGGGACACATGCATACATCATTGGGCTGCAAAGTTACTAGGGTGCACATATTAGCAGTGAAAAGGGACGCACACACTTGAATGCACGCCTTCACACACAATCCAACTGCACACATGAACACACACGTGAACAAAAATCCTAACCATCATCAAACTACTAGAACTACGGGACACACGTGAAAGGGTAGCGGTTTTAATACGAGCAAGATGAGCTTATTCTTCACACCAATGTGTCAAACTCACTGCTATGTGAAGTTACGGAGTTAGATTGGGCACTCCAGTTCAAGAGGCTGGGCTTTGGAGTCCAATAGATTAGACCAGTTCCTGGTACTGAATATGAGATGGGAGTGCATATTCTGAATAAAAATATCCTAAACCTTTGCAATGGGACAGGGGCACAGAGTGGAAAACTCTGGGTATGCCCTATTTGGCCTCCCCTTCCAAATGCAGACTCCGCCACTGAGCCAGATGGGCAATGGTCTGACCCAGCGAAAGTTTGTTCTTATGGAGGGCAGGGCAGTTTTAAAGAGCTCCATGAAACAATGACCCTGGTACGTAGTGACACTAAGATGCCATTTGTCAAGCCCACCACACCTTCCCCCACCAGCCTGGCTCAGTATGCCCTATTTGGCCTCCCCTTCCAAATGCAGACTCCGCCACTGAGCCAGATGGGCAATGGTCTGACCCAGCGAAAGTTTGTTCTTATGGAGGGCAGGGCAGTTTTAAAGAGCTCCATGAAACAATGACCCTGGTACGTAGTGACACTAAGATGCCATTTGTCAAGCCCACCACACCTTCCCCCACCAGCCTGGCTCAGATCCCTTTTGGGTGAACAGACTGTTCACCCTGTCCCGGATCTCCTTGGTTCTCACCCCATACACGATAGGGTTCAGCATTGGGGGCACCAGGAGGTAGAGATTGGCCACCATGATGTGAACGTGGTGCGGGATGTGGTGGCCAAATCGGTGGGTGAGAAAGGTGAAGAGGCCGGGGATGTAGAACGCCAAGAGGATGCAGGTGTGGGAAGCGCAGGTGCTGACGGCTTTGAGACGGGCCTCGGTGGATGGGAGCCTCATGACCGTCCGCAGGATCATGGCATAGGACACAGAGATCATGAGCACATCAAAGCCCGCCACCATGAAAGCCACAAATAGGCCATACACAACGTTGGCTCTGGCATCTCCACACACCAGCTTCACCACAGCCATGTGCTCGCAGTACGAGTGGGAGATGAGGCGATGCCCGCAGAACGAAAGCCGGCTGGCGAGGATGGAGAAGGGGCTTACCAAGAGGACCCCACGTGTCAGCACGAGGCTGCCTATTGTCTTGGTCATGGGGATGGAGAGGATGGTGGAG